ACCTAAATTCGAGAACCAGAATGTAACAAGAATAAACCCAATCTTATCTTCCCCAGTAGTCTAATTTAATAATTTTATTTTTATTCTTTGATGTGCAATAGCAATAATTCATTAAATTATATATATTTTTCCAAATATTCTTTTCTACCAACCATACAATTAGAAAAAGTGTAAAGAATAACCCTAATCGCGTGTCAAAAAAAATATAAAATAAATAAAAAAAAAAACTACAGCCAACCCACAACAATGTGCTGTACACTACAGTACCGATCTGTTACGCAGCTTTGGTCGCGTCTTTGTCCTCGTCCTTGATTTTCAAGTTCGCCAAACACGGCGCGACAAACAACTGTCCAGATACCACGCCGTTGAGCGTCCCAACAGTCACAACAACCCATAATACAACCACGCAAAGCGAGACAATCTACCAGACATTAGTGCGAAATTCATCGACAAGAAGCGTAGAAGATTACATACTGTCCCAAGGATTCTAAAGAACTCCGACGGCAACTCTGTGCCCATTTCACAGGTACAGGTGGCGAAGACACCCAGGGGAAATGTGAACCCCCACCATCCAATGTTGAACGGAAAGCTCTTGCATCGAACAATGGATGCCAGGGCAAAAAAGAGCCAGACAAGTGCGAAAGCCCAGAGAATCAAGGCGACCAGGAAGCCTACTGTGTAGAAGACATCGCCGGATGATGCTTGAAGTGTGTGTGTTTCAGGGAGAATTGTCTGCGCCACCTTACCCAGTTTCAAGATCCTACAGACGTTAGAATCTGTGTGTACTCTGCTGGGGAAAAGTGCCCTTACCCAAAACTGCCTTGACTCAATGGGCCCAGAGGCAAGAAAACGCTGACGATCACCGCTTTGGGCGGAATCTTGTGCAGAGTCAGTCGTTGTAGGTAGATCACCATGACCATCATGGCCAGTGGAAGCCCAATTCCCCACAACACATACGAAACGATCACAGTCCATAGCGCATGTTGCGGATTGGAGAGAACACCCGCCACGATGCCGCCGGAAGACCCGGCAACGACGCAGCTGACAATGGGGAGGAGCCAAACCGCGGTCATGGATGAGAGTTGCGTTTCGCCTCCATGGGACATCCTAGGATTCATTTAGTGTGGTTCAACTCGCTATTCGGAGGGGACATGTGGCGTACAATAAAAATGGCAGTGAGAGAGCGGTAATGACTGAGAGAATGGCGTCAAATATCCACATCCCCCAGGCGAAGTTCTTGGCCCATTCCCCCCAAGCTGGGACGCAGACGAAGCAAAACATATTAACAATCGTGGCAAAGCCCATGGGGAATGTCCCAAGGAACATAGATTGAACCGGATGGGTAATCATTACAGTGAAAATTTCCGGGTACAACGAGTACCGGAGGATGGTGATGACACATCCTATCGCGAAGAGAAGAACGTTGAAGGCAAAGACCACAACAGAAATCCAGTAGAGCCATTCGCCGTTATAGGGCAGGGTATTTAGCAGGATTGAAACAATGCCTGTGCCCATCGTGACCGAAAACCACCTGTATCCAAGGTTTAACAAGAATGTTCTCCCCGGGGAGAGGATTTAAGGCTTACGAAGGGGTGAAATTGCGAACCACCCTCCTCCAGCCCGTATCATGTTTTGTGAGTTGGGGTTGTCCTGAGCATTCGTTTGAACTAGCCATGACTCGATTTGTCGATGTTCAGCCTTGAGCTGTTTGATGTCTGGGTAATGGTTGCCGGAGAGTTTTATTGACTCGGAGACATCCGTTGCCACCCGTTTCCTAAAATAATCATCGACGTTACGATGCCTGTCGTCTCTTGGTTTGTCTACGATTGCAGACAGGTTATATACACCGCTGTTACCTCTGCAGCTTAACCTGTGAGTCATTGGTGTTCACTCTTGGATTTCTATGTGATAATCTTTTCCGAGACATAACAACTCGGCCGAGAGCATCGGCGACGGTTGTGGGAACCACGAAAGGAGGTTAACAGATAGAGAAGAGTAATCTACAAAATGCAAGATATAAGGGAAAGAATTTAGCAAACAGGGTCTTGTGTGTAATCCAGATTTGTTGCTTAGGCTGTATTTCCTTTCAACGTTCGGCGCATGCCCACTCGCTAAAAGGGGGCATGGACCATAGGTACATTTACTAAGCTAATGAGACGAGAAAGGCATACCTAGAACAGCCACTACTTTTACGAGCCTTCTCCCATGCTTGATTCAAACAGATACTCAACGTGTGGTGACGATGGCCAGACAGCACGCTTCCAGCGACGGCCTTGTCCAGCAACCTTTTCAGAATCAAAGAGGAATACTCTATGAGGTTATGCAGCAACACCCAGTTCTGAAGCCCTTCTTCAAATCTCGGTTGCTATCGTTCCCACAAAGACCCTGTTCTCCTGCAAACTTGGTACTGCACTGTGAGTCACGACTTCCCAATGAGTGTTGTGTTACATGGAGGGTGAATCAGCCTCAGGCGCTCAGGTTTATAGCAAAGCCGCCGGAGTATAAATCCCCCCTCCCCCCTCCCCC